ATTCTTAGGTTATTTTACACACAAGTACTGTCATAATTAAAGACATTTTCTCAAATAATGCTGCAAAAGGATGGTCCATCCAAAATTTGATGGAGATGGAGTTGACATTTCAAAGCTTAGTAGTAGCTGTATTTTACATTTGAAAGACGTGCCCAGCATAAAGTGACTTTAATGTTCCCAGAGCTTTTGTCTTTTCAGCTTTCATCAACATTTACCGAATGGCCTAGCACATCAATGTTTTATGTTTGTGTGGTGTAGGGCTTTTGTGGCTAATGCATTCACTGCTGGGCATCAAGCCTGCACCAGGGGATTTTACACTATGTTATGCACTGTGGAGGAAGAATGTAATATAGTATATTTAACTTTTATATTGCAATAGACAACTTTTAATTTGTGCATGGCCTCTTCAATAATATTTTAAAATATTGCAAATGTTAATAATGGTTTAATTTTATTTCCACAAAAATAAATTTTGCTGGTTGAACATGTTACTACTGGTAAAGGTCAGAAGTTGACCTCCCTTTGTTGTTTGTTGTTATTCAATGCACTGTCATTATGTCAGAGAGGATTTCCATTAGGTTACTGCAATAGTGTGTCTCTACCATCACTGCATGTTCGTCCAAGCTGCTTTGGTGCTCCAGAGCATCTGTCTGGCAGATTGTTCACAGTGGCAGTTTCACTGTCCTCTATGAGATGGGATGCATGGTTGGCTGACCTTAACTGAGGCCATTTGTCACCCCTAGAGGCCCGGTAGAGAGAGAGAGAGAGAGTGTGTGTGTGTGTGTGTGTGTGTGTGTGTGTGTGTGTGTGTGTGTGTGTGTGTGTGTGTGTGTGTGTGCGCGCGCGCGCGCCTATGCGTCTGTGTGGATGTGTGTGTGCGCGCGTGCGTGTACGGGTGTGTGTATGCGCGTGCACACTGCTAGAAATTCAATGCCACTATCGCACAATATGAGAGTATTGATCAGCCATATGACTCTAGAGGGAACAGCGAGTACATTGTCCTATTGTGTCTGGGAAGAAAGAGCTGCAGTCATTTATCTTGTCAACAAAACATAACACTACAGTATATGAAAAAAAGAGAAAACTCGTCAACACACCAAACACTGTCACATTTGCAGTCAGCATTCTTCAGAACATTTGAAAGTCATTTCTGCAACTTGACCTCTAGAGGGCACTGCTTCTTTATTTTGTTATTTTCTTAGACAATACCAAGGAGACAACTCCATACACAGAGTTAGTAAAATACATCCTTGAACTAAAATCGATTCTCAAAACTTAGATGTATATAGTCGTGTAACAGCCGACATCAGAGGGGATATCTATCTGTAAGGACACCTACCTCTCACTGATCATTAGAGCAGAGTTTAATGAGAATGGAGCAAAAAAGCTGTTAATAATGGTTGCGTGGTCTTGGTTCGGGGCTGCCCCTTTGGACTAGCAGCTCCCATGATGCTAGATTCCTAATTAGAAGTTGGTAAGAGCGTGCTCCTGTGGGCATGTTACTTTCACTGACAAACAACAGTCCTCCCTGACGACAGCGGCAGCACCTGCAGTGGCCTACGCGCCGACTGCTGCTCTCCCCACATGCTCTGCTTTCATCACCGACACGACGCAGAGCATGAGCTGCTGGATCAAAGCGAGACAAATGACTGGAGGAGATAGGAGCAGAACAGAGCCGAACCAGAGCTTCTGCTCACGACACACGCTGTAGACACAGGCTGGATAAAGATGGCTTTAAAGAGGGCCTGGAAACTCACTCCAAAATTGAACTAACATAGAAATGGTAGTTCAAACTAAAATGATCTTTTTTCAGTTTTTTTGTTTTTTTGAGGACAAGCCTGGGGAATGACCCTGTCTTGTGTAGCCTGCTCATGATATTGTGGAAAGAATGCCCTCTTTGACAAAATCACATGCTTCAGTAGAAGCTATAGCCCCCATAACAGTGCTTTATGAACAATCCATGCTTTTTTTTAAATAAATGTGTAAACAATATAGGCTACTACAGGCCACTTTTGGAGTGTGATAAAGAATAATTTTGTTTTAGGTAAAACAACAACTCAAGCAGTGACAAGGCACACAATAAACACACAACATTTCTGATGAATTACTGGCTTCATTGTTGATATTTCATTGTCAGTATATGAGCATTTGAGACAATTAAATGCATTCTTATTTCTCTTGTCCATAGATTGTCCTTTTGTAAAGTGCAGATAATACTGAAACTTTTTTCTATTTTTCAGATACATTTCAGAGAATAGGATTCTTGTTCAGTCATTTACTGGCTATTATTTACATTTTTCACATTTCATTTCATAGAAAGAAAATCCATAATCTGTATCCATGTAGATGTATGGTTCAGGCCTCAGTGGCAGACACAACAGTGACACGGGTGAGGTGAACAACCATACAACTTCTTTCTCAAACATTCATGCATACAGATTGCATAAAGATCATTGCTTTCCCTTTCACATAATAGTCTCTCTTTACATAAAGATGACAGTGTAGCTCTCATAATCCCAAAACTCAAACTCACATTAAAAATGTGCTATAAAGTACTATGTAGTGGTTCATAATTTGAAGCATTGGCTATCCAATGGGCCAAAATGTAAGTGATATGAAACAACAGACAAAGTGTAACTTTTTTCAGACCATTTTAAGTCATTCTGCATAGATCACTCAATGTCTGTTCACCATGGGGCACTCTTCTCATGAAATCATGACATGGTTGGTGCTTCGATGGCTGAGGCAGGGGATTTTAAAGGCTGCAAGAAGCCTTGTAAAAAACAAGATGTTTCAGTGTTTCACTTCACAGATTACATCTGCAGAGAACCACTTTACTCATCTTGCGCTTAGAGCAGAAGGAAATGAGTTGCTACACTGACATTTGCTGGAGGTAAACTAAAATAATAATAATAATAACGATAACAACAACAACAGTGTCATCACTAATGTTGCCCATGATTTTAAAACATACCATTTAATGTGCCAGGGTGTTTTGGATCAAACTGTGGGTAAGATACACAAATGAGAAGTGCAGCCATAGTCAGTGACAGAATAGTGGACCTTCAAAACATTAGTCAGTGGATTGACAATCCGGTTTGCTGTTCTAATTAACTGTAGCATACATTGCATTTGATTAAGTTTGCTGATATCTGAAATAGAAAAGAAGTCATAAAAGTAAAAAATATGTCAGCAACAGCAAAAAAAAAAAAAAAAAAAAAAAAAAAAGACAATAAACACACTTTCCCACACATAGAAGACAAAACTTGTTCCCACAAGAGTATTTAAGGGGTTGTGATAATGTAGTGTCCTTCAAAGTAATATTGCTAAACAACACTTCCCTCTGACACTTCTACTCACATAAATACAAAATATTTATATAAAAATGTTGGAACTTGGAAGAAAGCTATAGAATGGGCACAGAGACATGTTCAGTCACCTCAGGCAGTTGGAAGAGGCATCCTGAACACATATTGGCAGCCATAGCATGAAACATTTTGCTTAAAGGTTAAAAATGAAAGAGGGCAAAATGAAGACATAAAATCTACAGTATATGTTATCCACATTAATTACTGCCTTAAACTGTTACCTTGGCAGTGTTCAGCAAAGGGCAGAAATTCTTAATTGGAAACAAACCAATTTTTCAAGGCTACTCTATAATGGACAACTGACCGTCTTATTCACAGTTGAGCTAGAGTTTCCTCCGAACTAGAAAAGTCCATGCACAAGTCAGTGCTAAAAAGTTAAGGTCAACTTGTGTTTCAATCAGGGGAATCATTGTTCGTCAGGGGCATTGCTAGTATGTTTACACAAAACAGATTGCACAAGTCAAGGTTAAAAGAGACTGCATGGGCTGTGGTAAAAATAACTATAATCAAGTTGTCTGTGTAATGTCTCAGCCGCTGGTGAAACTATAATCAACAAACCTTAAAATTTCAATTATCAATTCAAAAATAAAATCAATGATACAACTCTTACTTGTAAGTCAGAAGGAGACACTTTAGAAATGGCACTTTGTGCCAGCAGAGTTCTCTCATAATGCATACACTATATGAGAACAACTCAACCAACAGACAAGTGAGCAGCCGGAATGGCCAAGAAGAAGGACTTAAGGTATTTTTTTTCCTACATGCAACAATACATTGCATGTCATTTCCAGTACACGTAAAGTAATTCAAAGGCTACCTTTGTATTTTTTGTACATACAGGTGCCAAGCCTCAACATTACTTGACTCTGTTTTACAGCACCAGTGTATGAAATGAAAATAATTTATCACAGATATACGGTTATTTTATGTGATCTTTTGACCTTAATTGAGGATGTGGTTAGGATTTACAATAAACAGGAAATGACCAATGTATAGATGGTTGAGAGTGTGTCTTTGGCACTCTGATGTCTTAAGGACAATATTAAAATAATAACCATACATACAATTATGCACGTGTAACATGGAACATACAAGGTTTCCTTTTTATCTTACAGATCTATAATTATTATTATTCTAATAAGGTGAATCTGTGTTATTTGTATCTTCTCTATTGTATCAATATTATATATGCAGATAGAAAATAAGCATATCTATTGCAATAACTTTGTCTTAGAGGCTTCTTATTTGCATTTAAATGCATGCTTCTAGGAATGTCTTTGATTTCATGCAGTAGCGAAGATAGCGACAACCCAGATAAAGGCAGAGAAAAGCATTTCTTATACATTAGTCCTTAAGTTTCTATTTAGATAGTGAAGACATGTGCCAACTTGTGAAAAGGCAGGACTGCACATAAATCCTCTATGTAACTAAAATTAAATATATTTTCTTAAATATTTACCTGGCAATGATATCTATGTGGAATGTTTATATTGATATATTGACACAGACACTGCATCCAGATGGGTTTTAGCCATTTGAATATTATAGCTTACAAAAGTCCTCTAACATACAGCTTTAGATATCAACTTCTTGCCATTGTCAAGTGTATTTGTATTAAAGGCAGTGTCAAGACATATGTACACAGGTGTGATGAAGCTAGTGGCAGTTGAGACTGGTGGAAAGTCCCAGATAAAAACATCATGCAATTTCTATAACTGACTAGTGTTTACTATTAACAGCAGTTATCTACATATTGACTATTAGTTGAGTCACAGTTACTGTATGTCACCCACCTATTTCTAGGAGTAAATACCATTGCATGATTTACCGTGAAAAAAACAAAAACAACAACAACAGTAAGAAACATTCAAGCTGTCCTCAAAGCTCTGCAATAAGACCAGTTTTGGTGAATGAAGGGGAAGCTTGCACTGCAATACATACAGTACATGTCTGACAAAAACAAGAGTACAGTCAAGGCCATCCTTAGTCATTCATCAGATACTGATGTCTACTGGTAAAAAGGTGTCGAACCACAAGCTCAAAGCTGATGGCTGTCATTCATCCTCGATTAAGATGGTGTACTTAACCACCAACCTCGTAACAAGTCACCCATGGGCCATGCAAGCAATGCAGTGAGTAGGCTTGCTTTATGCTCAGTTGTCCTTTTATTTGGAGATGGTGTCGCATAAGAAAGTTTGGTTTTATTGGCTCCAGGAAGCTGCATGTAGTTGTACAGACAAAGTGCTCTTCAGAAAGCGCTAATAGCTACTCGTGTGTCTTGGGAAAAGTGACTTGGTGACACAAAGATGTTTGACATATATATCATTTTCAGTGATTATACCTAACTATTATTTTTGATGAACTATGTTTTTGTGCACATTTTTGTCCTATTGTGAAGCAAACAAATACAAGCCAACACCATGCAAAATGTAATATTCAAAACTCCTCCTGTGGGGAGTTTGTGAGAGTATAGTGGATGAACATAATGTGCACATGGTCTTTATAATGTTTTATCGCTATCAACCACAACATCTTCCAGCATCTTCTATTGCCTTGAATACTTCAAGCATGAGGCAGGGGGCTCCCAAAGCTTCTTTCCAGTTGCTTTACTTCAGGTTTTCCATCTTTGTAAGGAAATAAACTACACATCTGTGAGCATTTTGGTGATGTTAACATAGTTTGTATTGGCCAGTGTGCAGTTGGCTGTCTTGAGGTTCTCCTCCTGAAAGTCCTCATTACTGTTGTTGACAGCCTCCTGGATTTCCATGTAGTCAGACTTACTGATGGTAGACCCACTGCGACTCTTCTTTAGCTCCTCGATGGAGTCTGTCTTGGGCACATTCACTTGTAGGAACTGGGCTTGTTCCTCTCCTTCTGTCTCACGATGATAGAAGTAATTAAAATTGGACACAATGACAGGTACGGGCAAGGCAATGGTCAGCACACCTGCAATAGCACAGAGGGAGCCCACAATCTTGCCACCGATTGTAGTAGGGACCATATCACCATAACCAACTGTTGTCATGGACACTACAGCCCACCAAAATGCATCTGGGATGCTTTCAAATTGCGATTCTGGCTCATCTGCCTCTGCAAAATACACCGCACTAGAGAACAGGATAACCCCAATAAAGAGGAAGAAAATGAGGAGGCCCAATTCTCTCATACTGGCTTTGAGGGTCTGGCCCAGGATTTGAAGCCCCTTGGAATGGCGTGAAAGTTTAAAAATTCTGAAGACTCGCACCAAACGAATGACCCTGAGAATGGCTAAAGACATGGCTTGCTGACCTGGCTGGCCATCCTCTGGCCTGTCTGCTAACTCTGTGCCGAGAGTGATGAAGTAAGGGATGATAGCAACAATATCAATAATGTTCATTATGTTTCCAAAAAAGCCTGCTTTGCTGGGGCAAGCAAAAAAGCGTACTAAAAACTCAAATGAAAACCATATAATACAAAGAGTTTCTAAAACAAAAAATGGGTCTGTGAAGTAGGTTGATGTGTAGCTGATTATTGTTGTGTTGGTCTCAGGTGAAAAAACTTCAGAGTGAGTTTTGTGCATTTCATCTTCATCATTCCGGAAATTTGGAAGGGTTTCCAAACAGAAACTGACAATTGATATTAGAATGACCATGACAGAGATTATGGCAATTATCCTGGCAGGACCTGAGCTCTCTGGGTACTCAAACAGTAGCCACAGTTGTCTCTGAAATTCATTATCAGGAAGAGGTCGCTCCTCCTCTTTGATGAATCCCTCATCTTCTCTGAACATTTCTATGGCCTCCTCGCCCAGCTCATAAAAACGAATCTCCTCCGAAAAAATATCAAGGGTGACATTGACAGGGCGACGTAGCCGTCCTCCAGACTGGTAGTAATACAATATGGCGTCAAAGCTGGGTCTATTCCTGTCAAAAAAGTACTCATTCCTCAGAGGATCAAAGTAGCGCATTCTTTTTTTGGGGTCTCCTAGCAGGGTCTCAGGGAACTGTGAAAGGGTTTTAAGTTGTGTCTCAAAGCGCAGCCCTGAGATGTTGATGACCACTCTTTCACAGCACTCATGGTCTGCCTCAGGGTCATAGTCCTGGGGGTGTCCCGGATGAGCGGCCGCCTCGTCCGAGGGGTCGCCCGTGGCAACAGTCATTCTGCAGGGAGAGGAGGCCTGCACCTTTCAGTGAGTCGGGGCCCTGCAGCCTGGACAACTGCAGGTACGGGCCGGGAGGAAAGGGAGGGGGCTCAGCGTAAAGACCTGACGACCACAGGATGAGACCTAGGATTGGGCTGCATTTGGGGCACACAGAGAGAAAGAGTTAGGAAGAGACAACACTTCATATTTATGTCATTCAGATGGGGTTTAGTTCAAACATTAAGAACAAACAACTCAAAATAAAAGTAAATAATGTTGCACTCATATCAGATATATGTATTAAGTTTGAAAATACAAAAATGCACCAGGCCAAAAAAAAAAAAAAAACACATTCAATGGTCCTGTCTAATTAATATGCAAGTGAGCAATGTAGTACCTTGCATATAAAATGTAATTCTGTAGGTAAAATAAAAGGCTAACAAATATACAGATAAAAAATGAGGACACCAATTTGCTGCATTGGACAATGAAATGACTGAAACTACCTTTCGCAGGGAAGCCATGCATGAACAGGTCAATGCAGCAGGCAGCAAAGTCACAGACTGCATCCTGTCTTGAATATAATAAAAACGCTGCAGCTTAAAATCAAGATGCTACAAGACTGACTGCGGTAAGAAACACATATTAATGGATCACATTGCATGACTTCAGGTCTAGCTTTGTGAATTTTTGTCTCGAAATGGTGCCTGAATCTAAAATATTCAGAAACATGTATAAATAATTGATCCATAGAAGGAAATAGGTTCCGAGAGAAAAACTGTATCTCTGCATCAACTGAACCTGCTGGTAGAATGCAGAAAAATACCAACAAATGCATCTTAACGCTATCCTATAAAATTGTTTCTGTAGCAACATGTTCATTCACTCTATTCAGAACACAGACGTCAGGATCACAAAAACATTGCTTATCTGAACATACCTACAGTCATTTTCCTTATAGCCAATGGCAATACGTAGCAAAACGACGACAAGTAACACACTGCGGTAACCAGCTCTTTGGTCTCCAAGGCAGGAAAAAACAATTTCCAATTTGGGACAGTCGATGCTCTTCACCTCATGTTGTCTGCAGCATCTTCGCGTAAACGCCGGGTACAGTATGTGCGGGTGTGTCCTTGCTTCCCCCTCCCCGTCTCCAGAAGACTGTCGTGGGATGGTCTCGGTGATGGGCAAATAGGGAGGAGGGAGGGACCCTAACGAAGGGGTGCTGCTGGTGCCTCACAGTCACCTAATAAAATCGAAGGTGCTGGGATCAGCAGAAAGACGCGCCACCTCTGTTCACTTCACGCCAGCGCGACAACATCTGCAGCCCTACCGTCTCCAAATCATTTTCCTATTGTCCACTTGTAATAACTGCGCGACCAAATCTATTTATTAACACAAGGACGTTGTCTTTACGTCTTCCCGCCTGTCTTCACATCTGTCTAATAACGTCTGTCTAATATGCCGAGGCAGAAACGAGCGCGTACAAACATCACTGTCCTAATGGCCTGGGCACAACGGCGTTCTTAGACGCTGACTTCAAACGACGTGCGTGAAAGAATCGCTCAGCGTAGTGGGCTTGAAGATTATGCAATTTCACTGAGCCACAGCCCCCCTGCACACATCACACAGACAGCACATACCGGACACACACTGGTCTTTCTGCGTGATATACCCCATCAGTAGAACCGCTGTTGTGGTCAGACGCATATTTGTGAGCGCATGGTGCTCTAGTGGATGACAAACTCAAACCTGCAGTCGGGCATTGCTCTGCATACCAAAGAGGAACTGAGGAAGGAGAGGCTGATAGATGAAGATCGTATAATCATTTTCTATTCTAAAGATTCTAAAGAATAACAATGCACTAAATCCACCTTAAAGACCTAACCTCATGAAAATGTAAAATTAGTAGGCCTATATGTAGTCAGTAATTTAATATCAAAACAAATGAGCAAAAAACTTTTTCCAAGGCAATTCCACCAACCTATTTTACATCTTAATTACGAGAAACACAATACATAATATTGTATTGTTCCTCAACTCATGTTGACTCAATGTGCTTATCCAAGGCAATTATGTTTATAATGCTTTCCAGCGCAAGCCTCATACATAATAGATAGCAAAATGACCAAAATAGAGCCTCCATTATGGTGTCCTGCTATCTTTAGAACAAAGAATAAACTAATCAATGGGCCATCCTCTTCCCATTACCATAAGGACCAATGCTACTAGAGCTGGAAAAGGACGCAGTGACCAGGACTGACCTCCATAGGTCATAGGTCATTGGGAATCCCTTGTTGTCCATGACAGGAGGAAACAGACAGATGGTGGGTGTTGAGGAGGGAAACACCTGCGGGGTGGTCTCTTCTGCTAAGGTTCCTCCTCCTGACAGGCCTTCTGCCTGAGCGCTGGCTCGCTCCTACACTTACACATAGCTCTGGCTCTTAATGGCTTTCCCAGGTTCCTCATGACAGCAGAGACATTATTTATGAGACAATCTCCACCGCTGGATAAGATGCTTCATTCACTTTGCCTTGGTAGGTTTACTTTAATTAAAAGCACATATCTCCATGCAGTGTCTGGGATAGGATGTGCGTGGTGCCTTGATAGATGTGGAAGTTGGCAGAGAGTCAAAATTGAGTCTGTTTCAGGCTAAGGAATATTGATCCGGGACATGTCTTGGAAAAGCTTCTGACACAAATGGTGTGAGAACTAAATTTATGCATTTTGTTCTTTAGGCGTATTTTGATATCCATGGAGGACTCATTGAGCATTAAAAATAAGCATTTTCTTTTTATTTAGCACATTTATTTAGAACATTTATTTAGTACATTGTAGAATTTAGTACAGTATGAACACATTTTCACCTGGGTTTCATGCTTCAAAATCACAGCAAGAAGGTCTTGTGGGCGATAGGGGGCCTCTGTGGAATTTACATTTCTCTCTGCGCCTGTGGTTTCGTCCAGGTTCTCCGGGTTCCTCTACCACTAAAACATAGAATATAGGGTTCCCTTATTTATAATAAATAAATAAATGAATAAATAAATTCATACATACATACAGACATACACACATACATAATGATGCATAATAAAACAAATGATAGCCTGTAACATAACTTTATACCAGCAGGAGACAAGTAGCCCCATTTTGTCCCTGATGTGCAATGGACTCTGAAGTATGTCATTGCTTACTCTCACTGCATTGCAGCAGACATAGGTCCCAAACTATCTGTGCAAATAGTCTTCAATGCAAGAAATGAGACCACTAGCCTGTATAACTCAGGCCCATTGCAGCAATACAGTGATAAGTACTGAGAACACTTTTCTTTTCGCACTGGGTATACTTTTCTCTTGTTTCACCTTAATGCATTTTAGGCCTTTTTAACAGGAATCTTTAAACTTGTGGGAATGAAAGAAAACCACAGATTTTGCCTGAAATATCAAACCAGCTAGCTCTATCTGTCCTTCACTGACCCCATCAAAGACAAAAAAAAGGGCAAAAAAAAAAAAAAAAAAATGTGGAGAGAAAATGGAGGAAAGGAGTGTGGTATTTGTCAGACTGGGCACCAGCAGGATGAGGGCAGTCCCAGGAACTGAGCCAGAAACAGGAGTGGACAAGGACACTTGTACTGGAGTCTACTGCCACAGTCTTTCATGCAGTAAATTCACCTACAATCAGCTCACAACAAAATAGGTCAGTTTGAATTTTTCCAAAGGTCAAAGGCAGGTCGGCCAATCTAATAACAGATGGTAGCTGCAAAGACATTTGCATACATCTGACATTTTTTAAGGGTTTTCACATAATGCTGCTAAAGTCAAGACTGAATATGAGTAAAACTATTTGTTCACTAATTTATAGCTGTTACAGGCCAACAAAGAAGATTTGAACAAAGGGTTACCACTCATTTGTCATTTTACATAGAGCAACAGCCTGATGAAGACTGTCTTCACTGTATTCTATCCAGTGAGCCATCCTGGTGCTGAAGGGAAGGACTATGAGTCAGTCAGTGTGAATCACTGTCACTGTTGCAGGGATACCCTTATGCAGTATTGTACAGTGTAGTGCGGGGAGCAGGGATATTCAAGACATCTGTGAGAATTTGGTTATCTTACATGTATTAAATACACTACATGAAGCTACATGGTTATGAGAGCAGAGGTTAGAAAATATCAAAATCATGATGTAATACTTAATGGTGGTGAGTGACTCAGGAGTGCATGTGCGGTTGGTGAAGGCCCTGTGACTCACTGCACACCTGACAGATGAGCCAGAGGGGTTTCTGGGATTACCACAGCCATGAGCTTCGACAACAGCAGCCTGTCTTTTAAGACACACAGTGACACTGAAATTTTTCACTCAGCAGTCAGTACTGTCACTGCACCTTCTGCCCAGCATGGGACAGTTGCTACGGAGATTGTCTCTTGAGGAGGTTATGGGAGGGTCATAGCATCAAGCATCTCCCGGGCTTCTGGGATCTCTTAGGATAAGGTAGAAGATGACAAAGCTCTTTTTACGAGTCTGTGATCAACTGCATAGTCAATAAGTTCACCATGACCCCAAGATTCAGTCTCAAATGAGATGACATCCATAAACATCCATGTATTTCATGAAACAGAAACCCCATTTCAAATTATTCTTTTTATTCTTTTAAAATTCTGAATTAAAACTTTAAAAAAAATGAGGAACCATGGTCAAACTCAAAACTCAAACAGACATTTTCTTCATTGTTGTTGGGCTGACAACAGAGCAAGGACAGCAAAGACATGACCTTCAAGGTGGAAGTAAAAATAAATGTCAGTTAAATATATTTCCGTCTATGGACAATTGTCGCCAAGCATATGTTCTGGATTCACATACAGTTTTGCAGCATTCTTGAGTATGCATAGCCATGGGGTAGGGATGCATGCTTCCTCTGACATGCTTTTGGAGCTGTCCTTTGTGCGGGTGAAAGCACGGCACACTGAGTCGTGATCCAGAAGAGTGAACTTTATGAATAGCCCCCAGAGTGCCATTACACATTCTCGAAAGAACAGATGGATGAATGGCACCAACAGAAAGAATGGCAATGTGTCTCATACTTTCTATTTATAGTTTTTGGGCAAAACCTGTACACACCGACAGTATTTGGTGCGCACCAAACGGTCCATTCGAACCAAAAGTGGTTAGTTCGGTTCGTTTGCGTTGGTGTGAAAGCGTCAATCGGACTCGGAACCGAACCAAATCAAGTGGACCGAGACCTCAAAAAAGAGGTGGCCTCGGTTCGCTTGAATCCGCACCAAATGACCAATTTTGGTGCGGTTCCTCTGGTGTGAACGCGAACCCGGGTCCAAACCATAGACAGTATGGACAAACGGACTATTCGAAATGCATCATGGGAGGGACAAGCGTCTCCTCTGCCTGAAATGACGCGCTGTACGACTCCAGCGCAGTAACAGATTGTTGTCCAGACGCAGCCGCGATTCAGTTTCGAATTATTTTACCAACAATGGCCAATACAGAGAATATAACACACGAAGATCAGAGCAAGTATCAGTGTGCGAACGTGTGGCTCCAGAGTGAGTCAAAATTGGGGGTGCGTACCCCTGTTCGGGACCTACACGCACAGAGAAGTCCCGGTGTTCCCCGTGATCATGTACCAACCAACATTTGTTATTTTAGGCTTTAATTAACCAAATAATTTTTATGGCAATAGGCAATCGCCCATTCAATTGATACAACTTTAAAAAGTCCCTGCTTTTTGCCTAGTGTGAGAAATACAGTCGGACTAGATCCAAACCAGAGTCCTGAACCAGCGGGGGCAGCTCCGGTTCAGGCCGGGCTCAGAGGAGCTGGAGCGGGGAGCCTCGACCTGAGGAAGCGCTTTCCCCGGGAAGAACCAAATGCGCGGAGGACGGACGCTCAGAACAACATATAACAAACCAAACTGGACTCACGCTTCTGTCCGGATGCTGCACCACCTCGGAACCAGCCGCGATTCTTGAGCGCGGAGAACCGGAGCAGCGCGCCCGGACCTGTAGTCCACAGCGCATTCTTGCTTTTCCCGCACGGAAACAGCGCGCAGACGACTGAACGTACCCGCTTAGACCCAGTCATTGTGCACTGGTCTTGCTCGCCACCGTTTGGAACCAGCACATGGAGGATGGAGCCTCCGGACCATCTGACCAACGCGCTTGTAGGACGACAGAAGACCAAGGACCAGACCCCAGCCCCGTCCTGAGAAGCTGCGCGCTACTGTGAACGCTGTTGGCTGCTGCTGTTACCCGAACTTGGGCTGATGCGGTGAGTTTGTACAAAGTTCTACATGTTGCTGTTTTATGAGTTCATGATGATAATTTGAGATGAGGACGGCCCGTGGTATTAACAGGAACATCGGTGTTGATAACTGGAGGTATCGCTGTTTTACCGGGGAAACAGAGACACGTGAATCGAACCAGTTTTGGTTCGTTTGCCGGTGTGAAAGCGGACAACACTGGAGTGTATTTGCTACATAATAACAATTTTATTGCTTGGTGCGGACCAAATAATCGAACTAGCGGTGTGAAAACGACCTAAATATCACCAGTGTAAATATGCAAAATGGGTTGCTAGTCTAGGCGTTGGCACTATCCCTGGGTAACTATACTAATCCTTAAAATATTATTAATTGGGAATTAGGCATTTAAATGTTACATAATTATTACATGGTTATGATGATTAAAGTAGTAGTACAAATAAATAAAGGCGCCTTTATGCAAACATCACATTTATACATACACAAGGTGGGTTTAGTGCCTTGCTCAAGTATAATATAATGATAATGTGCAGGGAGGAGCTGGCATTAGGACTTATTCAAAAGGTTCAGCTCAAAAAACATCTGTTCCATACACTGAAATATTCAAAGCACTCAAACATAACTAGCACTGGAGCAGTGTTATCTATTATCTTGTTTATTGTGAACATTTGTGACTGTATTTGTCCTTTGAAGCTTGTGTAGTCACTATGTGCAGTCACTATGTGCAGTCACTGTGTGCAGTCACTATGTGCAGTCACTGTGTGCAGTCCGTGTCAGTACTTCCCTGTTAATGAGAAGGATCCCAGAGCACAGAGGAGTGAAGCTAACCAGCTGAGACCATCTTACAGCTGTGCAACAGTCAAGAATCAGACGCTCTGAGAGGTGCACTGCAAGGACAAGGATTATGAGATGGCTTGTGACATTAACACAATTAAACTCATTAATGTTGTTCAAGAGGATATTAGTCTGCTTTTCTGTTTAATGCAACACTATGCTCAACTGCATCTACTTTTACCCACCCACTCCTTCTACTGGCCTCCATCACACTCTTAGTAAGTGACAAGTGACAAGAAGATTTAACCAATCACTGTGAAGAGTGAACTCTCAAAAGAAGCAAATAGCTCTAAGGCAATTAATTAATTTTATGCCATATTATTCTCTATCCCTATAGCACAGATTTGCTACATATACAAAAACAAAGCCAATGATGGCACATGGCTCTTAAATTTTGAATTTATATTGTACACAACAAAAAGAAAAATAATTTCTTACATTGGGCACAAACATTTTAAAACCCCTCTATTATGATTAGAAAACCAGAACAAGATGGGCTGAACTGCAGTGTCCTTGTTGCAGTCCGTGATAAACGACATTGAGAATTGTGCAGCCATGTTGTGCGTTCCTTGGTTATAAATACATTGAAGAAGTTTCAGTTCTACCCTGGGACACTGAGGGAACAAAGCCAGTCAGCAGGTTTTAAACAGAACACCTGGGTTTCAGGTGTTCGACCTAGAGGACAGAGCTCTCACCTCCTTTTGCACTACTACAATTCAGGTCATGAAGAAGTCCATGTTGGATCTAATCTTTGCCTATTGCATTCATATTTTTCCCATTACAATGAAACATTTATATATATTTTTTCAATTAACTTAAGTCATGGGAGTATTTTCAGTATTTCAGAATGATTAGATATTCTGACCTGTAATAAGAATTTTGAATATTGCACAACCTAAGCATTTAAGCTGTGATCAACACACTTCTGACTCCAATTTATATGAACAGATGATTTATCAAAAATAATTACAAACCTCATAGGCAAATACCTATACAGCGATAAAACCCAAGTGCAATGGTTATGGCATTTCTGATGACTGATGAATCATGCCATTAGTTTGTTGAACAACCATCTAAATAATTTCTAGTAACATGCGTCAACTGTCACATGTTTGAAGTAGGTAGGAGTATATAATGGAAAATCCTTGGCAGTAATATTAGTACCCAGTAGAGGGCAGTAGTAAGTTATCAGTTTTAGAATAGACAGCTACAGTAGGCCTAAAACAAAACCATCACTTCGAATACATAAATTTCTTACACAAGTTTTTTTTTTTGGGAGAACATGTAAAATAACAACAACAAAACAAACAAACAAAAAAACAACAACAACAACAACACAGTGAATAGGTTAAAACAAAGCAAGAACAACATCATAAACTGCCATTAATGTCAGTTTAGCTATAATGAATGATGTGTGTCTTCACACAATGACTGTATGATAATATCAGAAGAATCTCATTGATGTTTTGTGTCTGAATTCGAAGAAGGCTTATAAATAATGTGCTATACAATTAGCCCTTCTGAAAAGCACAATTGAAATTCAGTGTGAGGAGAAGAAAGGTACATCGGTAGGCCAGTTGGCATGCCAACTCAGAGAATGTAAAGGAGCAGCTGGGACTGTTTCAGAAGGGACCACAGTTGCATGGAGTTGGCAGCACCATTTATATCTGCAATCTATTAAAATTGTGTTTAATTTTTTGCAAATTTGAGGAGATCACTGGCTATTACTTTATATTAAGTAAATGATTTGATTCACTTTCAATGATGACACTGGTAGCTTAATATCCAAATACATATTGTTGCTCTTTTCAGGCCTCAGAGGACAAAGAGGTGATAATAAACCACAGTTGGAAAGACTTTGTGAAAAAGCAACACAGCACCACCATGGCAACATTGGAGGGGGTTACCTGGGAAACTACCGTTGTCATGGAGACTGCATCACAGGGTGGGTTCAGCCAGAGGAAGGCGGGACATGGCACATGCTCGCCCTTGTTTGCACATGACCTCAAATACAATTTCAACACACAGCATCGATATCCAGCCATTGCTTTTTCCTTTTATTTTATATAGGCTATGAGGCAGATGTGAATAAAAATACAATTTACGAAAAGCTCCACTCATGATAGGCATTTCCATATAGAGCACTGTGGATACCTGAAGAATATTGAGAACAAGACAACAGGTTATGATAAATATAACCCACATAGGTATTTGGCTATAATGTATCACAGTCAATTAAGGACACTGACACTTGACACTGAAATTCGCCTTCCCACGAAGCACAAGACGTTTTGATTGGCTGTTAGATGCAATAGAATATATTATAGGCTACAAGGGTATCCCAACCAGAAATACCAACAATTTTTGCAGTAACATCAAGATATGTAGGCAACATGTGGCAATACACTCTGCTGAAATATTTCCTTAACAAGCCACTTATTCAAACCTAAAAAATGGTTCAGAAATAATAATGAAATGAAATGTGCCAAGACTATTTCCAACACCAGATGGAGCATTACAATTTTTTTACATTTTGAAAAACTAAATAATCATTAAAATAATAAGTTATGTGTGACCCTAAGCCCTGGCATATTAATGCAGTGAAAATGTGGTGCATCCCCAAATGTAGTGCAAAACAATGGGATAAACGACACATTATATTCTATTTCTATCCATGATCCACAGTCTTATCAGACACTAGTATTGGATTTAAACAGTGTAATCACCTTAAGTAAAATTACAAAACAAAATAAAGGATTCAGCTAAAAATCAATTGTTCGAATGTGCTACATCTGAAAAAAGAAATAATGAAGATTGAATGACTGCATTAAAATACTATTAAAAAGGGTCATAAAATAACAAATCTAACTATTATGTCTCCAATTTCTAGTCGAAGAACTGTGTGTCACTGACTCCATCTGTTGGTGAAGAGAGGAACTGGAGGAGGCTGCCCATAAAACTGCCAGTGTTATATGGCATGGCCGTGTGACAAGTGACCTAAAGCAAACAAAAGTTGCATATATTTTACAGTAACGATGAATGTACCCTCTGTTAATGAATACTTTCACAATATATTAATACTAGCCTGGCCTGCAGACTAGTCTAGACCAGGATATATTAATACTTTATTGTTAGAAAAATAACTGAAGTTGTTTGTTTTGGAAACTGACTTGTTAAGAAGACATTTAGGCTGGTGTCACCCACAGATATGGACGTACACATCACTCTCGATTATATAAAAATATTATTGTAGCTACTGGATGTCATGCTTCACATATATTTTACACGTCTGTGAATATCTTCTTGATGTTAACGCAGTTCTGTGTGTTCTCTGTGCTGTAGTTTGGCTGCTTGAACGTGCCCTCCTCTATCACCATGTAGTCCGATTTGCTGAGAGACGAGGAGCTGCACGACCCCCTCAGCTCCTCGGGGGGGAGATGCTCGCAGCTGGTCGAGTTCTTGTACTGCGGCTGCTCCTCTCCGTCTGTCTCTCGGTGGTAAAAGTAGTTGAAGTTGGACACAATTACAGGCACGGGTAAGGCGATGGTCAGGACGCCGGCTATTGCGCACAAAGAACCCACAATTTTCCCCCCGATAGTCACAGGGTGCATGTCTCCGTATCCCACAGTAGTCATGGTGACCACTGCCCACCAAAACGCGTCCGGGATGCTCGTGAAGCTGGATGTTGGGTCGTCTGCTTCTGCAAAGTAAACAGCGCTGGAAAATAAAATAACTCCAATAAAAAGAAAGAATATGAGCAAGCCAAGTTCCCTCATGCTCGCTTTGAGTGTCTGCCCCAAAATCTGCAGGCCTTTAGAGTGTCGTGAGAGTTTAAAAATGCGAAAGACTCTAACTAGTCTGATAACTCTCAGAATGGCCAGCGACATCGCCTGTTGCCCTCCATTTGTCTGCGTCTCGGCAAGTTCCGTCCCAAGAGTGATAAAGTATGGGAAAATGGCTACAATGTCTATGATATTCATGATGTTTTTTGAGAAGGTCGTTTTACTAGGGCAGGCGAAAAACCTGACCAGTAGTTCAAAAGAGAACCAGATAATGCAGAGCGTCTCAATCACAAAGAAAGGGTCTGTAAATGGATTGGGGCCCGAAGTAGACGTGCCATTTATAACTGGGGCCACCGTGGCTTGCTCCCTCTCGTCCCTGAACTCAGGCAGGGTTTCCATACAGAAAATTACAATAGAAATCAGAATGACGAGCACCGACACGATGGCTATGCCCCTGGCCGGTCCTGAACTCTCAGGATACTCGAAGAGGAGCCAAACCTGTTTTTGGAATTCATTCTTTGGGAGTATTCGCTCTTCCTCTTTTATGAAGCCCTCGTCCTCCCGGAATTTTTCCATGGCCTCTTCTCCAAGTTGGTAAAACCTGATTTCCTCGGAGAATATATCAATGGGCACGTTGACGGGTCTGCGGATGCGCCCTCCAGACTGATAGTAGTACAGTATGGCATCAAAGCTTGGTCTGTTTCTGTCAAAAAAGTACTCATTCCGCAACGGGTCAAAGTATCGCATCCTTTTCCTCGGATCCCCAAGGAGCGTGTCTGGGAACTGGTTAAAAGTTTTGAGTTGTGTCTCAAACCGTAAACCCGAGATGTTGATAACTACTCTCTCGCAGCATCCCTGGCGCCCGCGCTCGTGCCGCTCCACGGGCAGATCCTCCAGCATGTTGTCCGCTGTCATGACGCACCGCTCCGCCTCATCACCCCAGCCGTGCGTCGTGCTGCTGCCCCTATGTCTGCTGGACGAGGGCGAGTGGATTCCACTGGGGGAGTGTTGGTCCATACAGGTGGTTTGCAGAGTCTGAAGGGGCCCAGCCAAAGCCCAACAGCTTTGGAGAGCCGTGCGCCGCTGCACTCACATCTCCACCATCCACCTATCTGCGGCTGCACGCTCCGAAGCGTTGCACTCCCCCTGCCTCCAGTTTTTAACAAACACGCGGACACCCGCCCACGACGTGCATATGTCTGACATACGTCCAGCAGCAACCACCCAATAGGAAATGAACCCTTCACGCTACGCGCTCTGCTTCAGGAGAACAACATAAACACCTGTTTGATTCAGGGCTCACACTGAGCTCTCTGCTCAACACGTCACACATAATAAAGAGACAAGGGGATTATGTCCCCGGTTTGGACTGAATTCCTCATTCTATTCTTCGCTCTGAACCTTTTTAGCACCGTCCACGTTTTGATTTATTGACCCTTACTTTACAAATCTGATTCATGTTTGTTGAAAAACGCAGCCATCTGATGCGTCAAACTAATTTTATTGTAGCAATTACAATTCATGTGATGCACGTTTCAGGCTGTGAACAGCAAAAATCCCAGTGGAAGCATGAACCACTCCAATCTTCCCTGTGTAGAAAGTTGTTTGTTGGGGGCGGTGCTGCTCTCCATGGTGCTGAAAATAAGCCTTGCAGGCAGGATCAATGATTAGACTTCAAGATGCTACCTAAGTGGTTATGACCAGGTGAAAAAAAGAAATAAAAGCTTTGGTAGGCAACATATGCAACATATGACAAATATCACAATATTAAAACTCAAAAAAAAAAAAGTCTCAAAAATGAGACTGCAGTGTATAGTTATTGACCAGCAGCAAAATATTTCTGTTGCAATATAAATAAATTAGGTTGAAAACATAAACAATTGGAACATTTGGTTAACCTGCTCAGCTAACCTTTCAGTTCTGCAGTTTCTGTTCTTTTTGATCAGAAAATCTAGAAGTTTCAGATCAATACTGCGGTTTAAAATGAAAAATATAATGAATAAAAATATTAACATATCTGTATTGTTTTTGTACTCAAATACAGTATACTTTCACAGGTGACCTGTGCTTAATAGGTAGTGTATAAATAGAACGAAATAAAACAGACTACTAAAAATTACAGATCTATTGGGATTAAAACACAAATTCAAAAGAAACACTACAGAAAACACATTATCAGGCCTTAATAAAGATAAGAGCCAAACCACTAACCCATTAGTGATACTATTGCTAAATCCTGCGTCTAGGCTTAAGTACAGACATGCTGATTGCGTCATTGATTTTTTTCTGATTTGCAAGTCAACGCCAAGAAGAAGAGACAATTGCTGTATGTTGCCTCAGCTTTGAATTTAATCATTGCCAGCGCATTTATTCAATTCTAAATCCACACTATATAGAAACCACCATGATACTGACAGTGGCTGAATCTCAACACACAAAGGAAGTTTTGCCTGGGGTTGGTTACCATGACAACCAAAGGAGTGTTTGGTGAAAAAGAAGGTGACTTAAGTTATGTAATTTCCGGGATCCACCAAGAGACTAGATTTCACAGTGCAATGGACTGAATGTTTTGCAGATGGGGATTAAAATGACACATTTTGTGTTGCCTGCAAGGCCACTTAGCGCTGGCGTGGAAACAGGGCAGATTTAAAGAGCTTAGACTACGGGGAAAAGAGTAGATTTATTTTATACTGGTTATCACAGCCTCTGGCCATTCCCCCCACCCCCCACCCCACCCTCTCTTTACATTTTCCTTTAGTCAATTCACATCCCATTAAAAATAATAGCGAATAAATTTTGTTCATTCACAGAGGCCATGAAAGAGGCTTGTAAACATAGACTGATTGAGTGCATCGGGTCTGCCTCCCTGCTCAGCTCATGAGAAAATACCGCTTTGATTTGCTCTCTGAGATGAACCTTGGATGCTATGGAGGCCAGGGATAAGAGTAATTCATGGCTGGGGCTGCAGATGGACTCTTCTATATGCAGGGAAAAGTGCTCTGCTGATTACATTGTTACTCTGTGAATACATGTGCGCCTTGCAGGTCTTGAATCCTTCAAAATGCTCATTTAGATATCGTCTGCGGTTAGTACATTGCCAAGAGATCAGGAACATGTCCTGAAAATGCACAATGGATGAGGTATATCTTTGTAAACATTGGGTATAGGATTTCCCTGGACAGATCACACTGCAGTCAGTTCATTACAGTTGTAAAGGCTGCAAACAGGATAGTTATTCTCATAAACCTCAAGAGATAGGGACAATGAAAGATTATCAGTGTGGGAAAGTAAAAAAAAAAAGACTTTTCAAGCCTAGCAGAAGCTGGAGTTTTACAAACGACATAACGCATCTGGATGAGGCTTTAATGTAATAATCCCTCCCAAAAGACCTTGAGTGCATTTGTCATTCGATGGCGATGCAGACAGCAGCGGGAAAGAGGGGCTGGCTTTAGTCTGACAAAAGACAAGGCTCACTGTTTGAATAATGAGAAGCTTAGGTTTTTCTGTCTGCTGGGTCTGGCTCAGGCACGCAGCAGATCGATCCAGTGAAAGAGGGGGAGATAGAGCGGTCTATTGATCAGAGTCATGTATTGGCTGTGACCAGTACAGAATCATTACACGTCCACACTGTCCACTGTTACAAACCACAGGAGTCAAGGTGAGGGTCAAGGTCACAAGTTTACTCTTCTGCTCATGGAGTCAGACAAGGGGTTAAATGAGCATTATAATGGTCAATATTTGGGCGGGGTCACGTTAGGAATAATGACTGGTGAATGTCATTTATCACAGAAAATTGTTTCATATCTGAAAAAAATTTAATCCTTATTTATTGTAGTAGCATGACATGATTTGTAGTAGAACATATTCCATTTTTCATCAAAAGACAGCAAAGCTATTCTTTACAACTATCTGGATAACAGTAGGCTGTATAGTCCAAGAAGTCAATTTAACAACTATGAAACTGACAACTCATGTCTTATCTTACTTCAAGTTGAAGAGTTGCTTACGTGATTCAGACGAGTAAAAAAACAACAAAAAATTCCATTAAGCGTACAGGGATCTTCTAACTCCTCTGGCTAACCATACAAAGTGTGATATCTTTGCTCGCGTTTGTGTGTCACACATGCAGCATACGTCACCAAGTTGTTTTACCACCATGGAAATGTGAGCAGCTGCCACTGCCTCGCGCAAACCCGGTGTGACACACATGGAGAAAGCAAGGGAATTACATTCCAGCCTCATCAACTTTGGAGACTTAATGTTGGAGCCATAATTAAACCTAGATTAAATTAGACATGAAATTAGAGGTGACATTTACAAGTTATAGTCATTTATGTTTTTGCCACACCTAGTCCAATATCAGTTCTGGGAAAATGAAATTGTTTGATTAACATGTAGTGGCCTTTACCAAGACAGGCAGCATCACATATGAATTCATAATGAGGATTTCTTCTACTCTCACTATAATAGCATTACTGATCGAGATCTCATGCCAGTATGGAGAGGTGTGATGCAAAATTGCTATTCCAAACAGCATCCCCACAGTGATATGTGAAGGTCGTGTCCAAGGAGGAGGAGGATGTTGAGAAAGGGATGCAGCCCGATGGATTACAGACCCCCAGAGGGCAGAACTGTGTGGTCCCTCCATGACTCCCTGTCACTGTAATGGATCTGTCGGGTTATAGGGAAAGACCCCCGGAGCATCAGACCATGTTTTATGCCTGACCTGGGACATCTTTTGAGAATAGAGTAGGGGGCTAGAATATCAATCGTTCCTTTGATTGTAAACTAAGGCACAGTGACATAGATCCACACTAAAACTAATAACGTGTCTTTTCTTATTGCTGAGCTTCATCGAAATTCAACAAAACTACAACCAAGATGTGTTTAGTTTACAATGTCCAAGTTTACACCAATGCACCAGGAATGCACTAAAAAATGGTGTGACTCTACATAACTATGTAATGTGACCTATTTTTCCTAATAGGAAAAGCAGAGATAATATATTAAAATAGTAGTTAACATTTCTTTTTTGGAGTGTATTAATAAATATGTGGTCAACAGGACATGCAGCAGAATCTCTCTTTTTTTTAATATTAACAAAAATGAATTGTTTGTGTAATTTATCAGCCTTGCATGTCCTGCAGGAGCTGGCACAGGAGACATCTTTGAAGTGTGAACCACAGTTTGTATGGAGCAGATGGGCTGACTAATGTAACTCCTGACAGGTGCTGCGTGTGCGTCGCTGCCAAAGCACAGTGAGAGATGGTACTGTGGCTCATTTGGGGAACGCAATAGGAACCCCCATCCCCACGAAGGAGAGGAACAAGAAGTCGATTAAACTGGGTAGCACAATAAACAACACCAGGCATATGTGGATATGAACTGATTAGCATGTTTACATTTCAAAATGGGGTTTTGACAGACAACAGAGCTAACCTTGAAATCACAACAAACACACATGAATGCAATACAGTTGAGAGGTTTCATGATTAAACAGAATTGAATTGAAATATAAATGTTTAAAAGACAGATATTTAGATAAAATGTCAACAAAATATCCTGTCTTTTTATAAAAATAATAACTTGCTCACCCTGTGATATATGGGGTGCTCACCTCACAGTTTACATTAGGGCTGCACAATATCACAATCAACCTGAAACAGCATTTCAGGTTGATTGTGAGTCTCAAGGTGGACTTTTTTAGGTAACAGATTGTGCCATTAAAATGGTAAAATTGTGTATTTTTATCAAAAAGTGTAGCGGTTTAGTGGTTGGAGAAGTTTGCTCTATGTCCTCTCTCTCTCCATTTCATGCCACAGCTGTCATGTCAAATAATGCCTTCAGGCCAGACATCTTTAAAATCTAAGTGGAATTGGAAAAATCTCAATACTTCAGACCAATATCGTAAAGTTCTTAGATGTATGAGAGGATTGTATTCATGTATGTGCTGCAAATATTCAATGCAAACTGAATTCTGTTCTTAATGCCTGTGTTGAGACAATAGCAAATAAACA